CATTTTTTCATTTTCTATTCTTTAATACTTAATTATTTAATAACTATAATTTGTAAATTTTAAGTAAAGTATTTTCTCAATCTTGAAAAAAAATCCAAAAATGTCTTAATTCTATTTTTACCTTTTTATATATGAAATATTTTTCTTTTTACTTGTTATTTTAGAAAAGATAATAATTGCTAATAATAAAAAGAATTTAACAAATTGTGATTGTTACTCTCTAAATCTGAATTAGTGAAAAGTGAGCTACTAATTTTTAGTAATTTTTTACTAAAACTTAAGAAAAAAAATTTAAATAAATCAAATGGTGATATTTTATTAAAAATTAGTAGCTCACTTTTAACTAATTCAAATTTAAAGAGTAGGTCTGCAATGTTCATTTTGTCGGAAACTTTAATCTTAAAATTGATTAATTGAGATTCATCTGCGATTCTTAATAATTAATTTAACAAAATATCTCAACAAAATCTCAGATTAATAGATTTAACATTTTAAAAATAAAGTTCACTACAAAATTAACATTGTGAACTTAATTGTGTAACATAATAATTACCAAATTTTATAAAAATATTTTACGATCAAGGGAAAAATTTTATTTTTTATTCCTTTCTCAATACAAAATTGTTTTTTTAACTTCTTGTTCACATTTATGTATTAAAAATAAAGAAGAATTCTTATTTTCATAAAAATTATTTCATTAAAATTAGTCATTGGTATAATAATATAATTAGAGAATTGGTGTTTTACCTTATATTTTATTTAAATACAAACTGTATTATTTTACAGATAGTTGAATTACAGTAAACGGTGCCTGATTTATTCAAAAGAAAAAATACTGACAAACTAAATAAGATACATATTCAGAGACTATAAAATAAAAATAAAAACTATTAAAACTGAACTGTGAAAAATGGATAAATTTAAAAATCCACTAGAAACGGTACAGCTTATACCTATTTTTAGTTATTTAAACATACTGAGTGATTTTTTATACATTGAAAATTACTTGTCAAAAATTGATCAAAATAAAGAAATTCCAATTATTAATGCACTTTATGAATATATACAACACTATGAGAATAATACATTCAAACAAGGTGAATTAATTAGAGAATTGTTAAAAGGCAGTGATCTTTATGGAGCAAAAGATAACGAATATGTTGAAGCCACTTTTGTTAATGTTATGTTTGACCACATTATTAGTTCTTTAGTATTTAACAAATATGGAAATATTTATGGCTTTTTGGCAAAAATTTTTCATGAAGTAGACAATTTACAAATAGAAACAGTATTAGATGCGATAATGTTAACTCTTGACAAAGCATCTTTTGAAAATGAATACGGCGACAGGTCAAAACTAAGTTCTTTATCACTGGCAAGAATATATAATGACATAATATTACCTCTTTTTCCTATACCAAATACCAATCGTAGTTTATTGTCTATTGATTATATTTATGCACAAGCTGGTTCAATGTTCCTTCGAGCTGGTAGAATAGATACAAACAATTATATTAAATTCGGAAGCAGTGATGCAAATACAACTGAGAATAATTTATTTCAACAATACTTAATAACCGGACATGTAATTGAAAAATTAATCTTAACTGATGAAAAGAATTTCCAAATGTCTAAAGCTTTTGCTCTTCCAGCTCTAATGTATTACGTTTTTAATTCAAAATATTTATTTGACTATGAAAACATGGCAGAATTTATTTCAGAATCTGATTTCTGGCAGACAGCTTATGAACATTTATTTCAATATACAACTGAAGCTTTTAATGACATTAATGTTGAGTTAGAGTCTGATTACACATTAAAAATACACATGGCACTTTCTAGTTTTCAAAGTAGTAACGCATTGGTCAAATCTGTCATGGAGAAATACAACAATTTTAAATTTTCACTTTATTCAGCTAATCCTAAATCCTTCCACTGCCAATATAGAAAGAGTCAACCTAATCAAAATGAAAATGCTAAAAGTAAAATTAATAACATTACCGAAGTATATAAAACATATGAATTGCAATTAGTGGAAAAGACCATTTCAAAATCTCTAATGGATCAACTTGATCTTATGACAGTTGTTATAAAATTGATAATTCCTAACAATACTGTGTTACATTATGATTATAATGAATCAAAACATTTACCTTATGATATTTTAGAATTTTTTTTTCCTAAAACTATTAGTTTCGAATACTATATTTTAAAACGAGAAGATTACAACGCAACATTTATCAAATACACTGATAATGAAGACATTTTTGCAGAAGACATTAGGTTACATTTTGAAAAAATATTCAGTGTTGCGACACCTATTATTTTAAAAACAGCTGACGAAAATATTACTGTATTTTACCAAAACTTAATAAATTATAAAAAATCGCGATTTCAAACTCAGTTAGAAATTTTAGACAATTGTCAAGAAGAAAGTAAGAATATAAAAAGTGATTGGTGGAAAGAATTTGGTTTGTCATTAGTGCCATATTATCCTTGTTTATCAGATACGTCTGGAACAAATTATGGGAATATTTGTGTGCTAAGTAAAGAACAATTTTTTTACAAATACCAAAATAACGTATGTTCAAAAGCAATAAATAATAAATCACAATCTTTTCTGTCTTCATTAGGTACAACAATAAAGTCAGTATTTTTAAAAAATGTAATTTCTCAAACAGTAGATGAAATTCTAAATGAACAACAAAAATCTAGACTCACAATAAAAAAAGTATTAAATAAAATTAAATTATTTGAAGATATTTGTTTACACATAAAAGATCCTGCATTTCAGTTGACATTTATAACAGAAGACAGAATAAGTGTATTTGAAATAATAATTAAATCTTTAAGAGAAAAGACAGATTTTAAAATTAATTCTACCATAAATAGTCTTTATAAGATAAAAACCTTAAAATCAAATTCTTTCAAAAGCATTGGTATTGTTGGTGAAAACAATACTCGTTTAATTTTCGTAAACACCTTATACAATCAAAGTGACACTGGTTATGGTTTTAAGTTTATTTTTCTATCTGACGATGTATCAAAAATTGCACAGTTTAGAACTGGTTTCGAATTAAAAGATGAAAGATTATTTACACAAGGGGATACAGAAAACTCAATAAAAAAATATATTGCATTAAATAATGTAAGTTTTCAACCTGAACCTGATCATTCTATGTATGAAATTAATAATCAACTTTGGCGTAGACCTAAAAAACTTTTATTTTCTGGAATACCAATTCAAGCTGACGATTATGATGAGAAATGTAACGATGATATTAGTTATTTTGAAAAGTCGATACTTAATAATCTTTGCCGAAGACAACGACGTTTGAATGAAAAATCTGTCTTCGAAGATGAAGCCGTAACATTTATTAAAAATAAGACAAATATTTCTGAAGAATGGATACGAAACATGTTTAATAAATACACATTTCCTGATAACATCACTCTATTGCAATTTGTTGATTATTGGATGTATAACAATACCTTTAAAGCACCTGTTTGGAGTAAAATCTTTGAAATTGAGAATTCTGATCTTTTAAAAAAATTAAGATACGACTCACGTTTTGAAAAACATGATATGTCAAATTTTAATGGTAAATTTAGAATCAATGGTCTTTACTCGATAGCGGAAAGACATCTAATTGAGAAAGAAGCACCAATATCAAATATAATTAAAGAGTTCAATGAACAGAAAGCAAGTTATTCTGTTGCATTTCATGATTACTATGCGATACGAAATTTTGCTACAACAGGATACACAAGAATAACAAGAGATTCCCAAGAAGCAAAGCTGATGAAAATTGCATTATATAAATTAGCTATAAGGCAGTCAGACGATCCGGAGGGGGAGTTCGACTTAAAATTATTTAAAGTCGAAACTAAACCAATTGCAATTGCCAGAATGTTTTTAACTCAAAATAACATTACTCTGCAAAAATTTACACAAGCTTCTCCAAATGCAGGTTCTGCTATAAGATTGAGAGGTTATCCAGCACCTGGATGTGTCAACATTTTGTATGAAATGGTATTTAGTAGACCTTATGTAAGGGCAAAAATTGAACAAATTTATAACATAAAAGAGAATAATGTAATTCTTCTACCTGGAAGCAATTTTCTTATTGTAGACCGTAGAATGTTAGGTATTGGTGGATTAGGCAATGTATTAAAATTAAAGCTAATGTTTCAACATATTGATGATGAAAAGTCTTTTTGGTACAAAAATATCATGAATGAAATTGCACATATTAACTTCTAAATATTGTATAAAGAATTTTGAAATTAAATATTCTTCGCAATAAAATGCTTATTTTATATAGATATTGAATAAATTAAATGTTTATGTATTTAGTTGGAGTTAGTTTATTTATGGTAAAATAGTAATAATATTGTCGTTATCTTTTCCTTAAAATAGAAAATATAATCACACGTGCCTTTCTGAATATGACAAAAGACAATAAATATAATTTATATGTTCTTAATAACCCTAAGAGCAACTAATATTTCAGAATATCTTACAAACGTCCTAAAAGTATCTAGAAATTTGGATATACCCAGAATGTCTAAATTCAATTTTTAAAAATTTTAAATGGGGGACCAATTTTTTTTTTTTGTTTTTTTGGATCCGTTGTTTTTAATTGTAAAAATCTAAAATAAGATTGATCTTAAGCTACCTAAAACCTAAACAAAAACCAAGTTTTATAGAAATACTATGAAATACTAAGAAATAAATAATACTAAATTTCATATGAACACGTACATTGTTTAAATTTTTCATAAACTGTATTTATAATTTTCTTTGTAAAATTAAAAACTATTGTGCCTTCCACAAATTTATGTTAATTTTAAAATTGCGCTTTTCTTATCTATGTACTGAGTAAATATTAAGTTTTATTGTTTCAATTGTATCAATAAAACGATAAACATGGTAAAAATTTTTGTTCGTAAGTAAAAAAAAATTTTATCTTAACATTTTTAACTCACGTCTATATACTTCCAGTTTGCACATTAACCCTGAAGATTCGATCGCAATAGTAATTTGCATATATATAAAATAATATATTTTTTAAACTACTATCTATTAAATAAAATATTTATACAATAATCTAATTATTGAAAACTGCAGTGTATTAAAAATAGTACAAGGTAAATAAAATTATGTTTCAAATTTTCTTTTTCATATACTGTTTCTATTGTACCTAACTATTTAGTAATCATCAGCTTCAAAAGTAAAGCATTTTTTTCCCCTCGAAATTATTATATATTGTATTGTATTGTATATACATTATGTTACTATATTGTTCTATTGAATTAAAATATTTCTGTCAAGCATGAAAATTATTTTTTCAAAAACGTATACAACAAAACTCACAATGTTTTACAAATTCTACAGCATAAATACTTTCGAAATAGAAGCATTTAATATTGCTAAAGATATTTTTGTTAATTAAATAGAATTTTACATAACTTTTAAGTTAATATCAAAACTAATTTTAACTTTTAAATAATAATAACGTCATTTTTTTGTAAACGATTAAATAAATAAGTTGAAAAATGATTCATTTCATGACCATTTAGCTTCCTCATCATGATAAAAAATTCAAAATTCAATTCAAAATTTAAATTCTTTGTTAACTCTTTCGTGCTCCCGAGAAATCCAGTGGTTGGAATTTAATGAAACTCACCACTCGGAAGTTTTTGGGGTCGCTGATTCCAAATTTGAAGTCAGATTATAAAAATTCAAAATGGCGGATCCAATATGGCCGATTTTTTTTTCATAATTAATCATATTTGCTTGAAAGTCACCATTTGGGGGTTTTAGGGGTCGCTGATTCCGAATCCGAAGTCAGATTTTCAAAATTCAGAATGATGGATCCAATGTGGCGGACAAGTTTTGTAAAAATTCATCGCAAATTCACTTAAAATTTGTTACTCGGATGTGTTTTCGGGGTCGTATATTACAAATATGATATCCGATTTTCTATTTGCGGTCTTCCGTGAATGAATTAAACTTTCCCTACACTACCTTACGGACAGAACTTTCAATTTCAACACGGAGAGAAATAGATGGTACGGGGTACTATCTAGATAGTACCAGGTACCATATTTGATCTTACATATATACAGACAGCAATCTAGATTCTATCAGTAACAATCTAGATTGTACGGAGTAACGTCTTGATTGTAGTAGGTAACATAACCATACTTTTTGTAACATCTTTGATAGCATCGAGTAGCATAATGATGGTACCGGATAACATCTACTTTTTACCATCCTAAGATCATAAATTCTTACCATCTATTTCTCTCCGTGAATGCGCGAATTTTTAAAAATGACACAGGACATAACAGATTTCATGAAACAAACAAAATTTTATATCTATAAATATTGACAGATTCAAGCAAATATATGATAAATTTTGAAACAAATGTCCGCCATATTGGAGCCGCCATTTAGAAATTTTTTTTCACGTCATATTTGAATTCAGAGATCTAAAAAACTCTTGTATATTTTCATAAAAATTTGTCGACTAGAAAAAAGTAAGCGTGAAGGGTAAAATAAGGGTCAGTTATATGTGTGTCAATTGTGATTTCAATAAATCGTATTCGGCATAAGTATTCATGTCTTAAAAATTATTTATTAATCAGAAAATAGTTTTTTTACAGTTAATTAACGATACAAATAATTATTACAAAAAATATTTTAAAAGACTGACTAATCATGTAATTGTAGAATTTATAATTTATAATATTGCAATGATAACAATTTCAAAATTAATGTTTCTAAAAAAAGGCAATTGGCCATCTCCCTACTGAAAATCCCTGTATAAGATCTTGTACAATTTCCTGTACAGGATCAGCAACTAAACTTGTACAAGTTCTGACCAGTTCCTGTACAGGAAAATGCATACGAATTTAGAACAAGTTCATGTGTGAGATCTTGTACAAGATCTAGTGCAAGATCTTGTACAAGGAAGATACTTGTACAAGAAAATGTACATGATCTTGTACAATTTCAGGTATAAGTACTTGTGCATGAACACGTTCATGTTCTTGCACATGTATAGGTGTAAAATTTTTTTTTTTTTAATAAAATTTGAGATTTTGATAATTTTTGACCACTAAGATTCGTAACTCATGCACAGAAAAAACCTGAATTCAAATTGAGTATAGATTCTATACTCAATTTGATTCGCAACAAAAATGAAACTGGTTGTCTCATTTCGAGTTCTAAGGTAAAAGTATCAAAATGAAACAGGCAAGTTTCATTTTGAGAAAAAGAAAAATGGAAAAATATTGTGAAATAACGAATAATTTTACACAAAAACATGAAATATAATAATTACAAAGAAGTAAATAACACGCTAGACTTAATATATTTGATTAAAAATTGCTTGTAATCGCGTAATAAAATAATAAAGGAAATATGTTTTTAGGTTAGAAAAATGAAAACATGTGTTTTGACAACAGGAACGGTACTGCCAACTTAAATAATAGCGGTAAATTTAAAAACTTATGAAATTAATTATTATCTACGTAAATAATAATAAATAATTTTTATTTAAAAACTTCTAAATATTCGTACTGGTCAAAATAATCTTTCTGGTGTTGTTGAAATATTAGAAACAATAATTGAAATACAAAATTACTCTGCTTATGATGCCAACTTAGAAATCTGAAATTCCAGCCAATATCATTTTGAATAACATGAAGTTTGTCCCATACTCATTTCGATACCCAAAAGAAAATCAGTTGCAACAAAAATGAGTCCAAGTTTTTTCTGTGTGCATGCTAAAAACTATTGCGCAGCTGTAAAGGTTAAAGTAAACTATTGCGCAGCCTTTGAAGTTTTTAATTTTTAGTATAGAAAAACATGAATTAACATGTGCAAGAACATGGACGTGTTCATGTACAAGTACTTATACATGAAATTGTACAAGATCATGTACATTTTCTTGTACAAGTATCTTTCTTTCTCACACATGAACTTGTTCCAAATTCGTATGCATTTTCCTGTACAGGAACTGGTCAGAACTTGTACAAGTTCAGTTGCTGATCCTGTACAGGAAATTGTACAAGATCTTGTACAGGGATTTTCAGTAGGGGCTCTTCCGAAATGTGCCAAATTCTTTTTTAATTAAAAACATATGTTTTAACCCCTTCACTGTTAGAGAAAAAATTAATACTGTGGTCCCAAAATGTTCAGCAAATTCTTGTCGACAAATTTTTTATGAAACTTAGTATATAAGGGTTTTTGAAGTCTCTGAATTAAAAAAAAAATATTTTTTTGTGATTTTTTATTGTTTTTTAATTGTTTATTAGTTAAAAATAATAAATAATTACTTAATTATTTCATAAAAAAAATACCATTGATACCTGTAGTGTGCGAATAATGGTATAAAAGAATTTATTTTACAATTTAAATAGAAAATTTTATTTATTTTGTGTTAAGATGATCACGACACAAATTGTCGCTGACAGTTTGGGCCCCTAATTTCTCATGACACAGCGTATGTATCGCTGACAGTGAAGGGGTTAATAGCAAATAATGTAAATTCTATCCAAAGTTATTGAATTTTTCAAAATTATCATAATTATAATATATGGATATATATGGGGTAAAATTCCTGTAGCGAACTAAGTGAAAAAAAAAGTTGATCGGATCGGGCTGTAACTTGCACATAGTTTAGCCGTAGGGGTAAGTAATTTAACCACAAAGTATTGTTCGGTTTTTTCAAAAACTGTCGGAGAGGGAGGGGGTTGAACTTTTTTGAAAAATTTAAACAGTGAATTTTTGAAGACTTGTAACTTTTAAACAGAAAGAAAAAGAAAAATTTTTCCTATATGTTTTCGAAAGGTTTTTTCCTGCTCTTTCGAATGGTGCAAAACTTTTTTTTAAAAAATTCAAATTTTTTTCACTTAGTTCGCTACTGAAATTTTACCCCATATATATAATTTTAGCTCATAATTTAAAATTTGGTTTAAATATCATTGGATGATAATAAAACTTTAGTTCTTTTTCACTTTCTAAATCTGAATTAGTTAAAAATAACTTATTTGTAGTAAAATCTTGGCTGACTTTTTGCTTCAGCAATTAATAAAAAAATAACTTATAATTAGTAACTAAGTATATCATTTTGCAGATAATAATTGAATTTCATTAAAAGATGTATCTTTTATGAAAACCAACGACATTGACATCAATAACAAAATAAAAAGTAAAATAGTTTCATAATACCAATTGTAAGACTATTAGTACCTTACACTGAATGATTATAAAAATTCGATATTCTGCAAGCAAAAAAATATTCACTTGCAAATATAAATTGTACACTAATGAAATTTAACTGAGAACAATGGATACATTTAAAAATCCACTAGAAACGGTACATCTCATACCTATTTTCAGTTATTTAAACATACTAAGTGATTTTTTATACATTGAAAATTACTTGTCAGAAACTGATCAAAATAAAGAAATTCCAATTGTAAATGCACTTTATGAATATATACAAGACTATGAGAATAATACATTCAAGAAAGGTAAATTAATTAGAGAATTGTTAAAAGGCAGCGATCTTTATGGAGCAAAAGATGACGAATATGTTGAAGCCACTTTTGTTAATGTTATGTTTGACCACATTATTAGTTCTCTAGTATTTCACAAATATGGAAATATTTATGGTTTTTTAGCTAATATTTTTCATAAAGTAAACAATTTACAAATAAAAACAGTATTAGATGCGATAACGTTAAGTCTTGAAAATGCATCTTTTGAAAACGTATATGGCGACAGGTCAAAACTCAGTTCTTTATCACTGAAAAGAATACATAACGACATAATAATTCCTATGTTTCCTATTCCAAAAGACAATCTTAGGTTATTGTCTATTGATTATATTTATGCCCAAGCTGGTTCAATGTTTCTTCGAGCTGGTAGAATAGATACAAACAATTACATTAAATTCGGAAGCAGTGATACAAATACAACTGAGAATAATTTATTTCAACAATACTTAATAACAGGACATGTAATTGAAAAATTAATCTTAACTGATGAGAATAATTTTCAAATGTCTAAAGCTTTTGCTCTTCCAGCTCTAATGTATTACGTTTTTAATTCAAAATATTTATTTGACTATGAAAACATGGCAGAATTTATTTCAGAATCTGATTTCTGGCAGACAGCTTATCAACATTTATTTCAATATACAACTAGAGCTTTTAAAAACATTAATGTTGAATTACATTCTGATTACACATACAAAATGAACATGGCACTTTCTAGTTTTCAAAGTACTAACGCATTGATCAAATCTTTCGTGGAGAAATACAACAATTTTAAATTTTCACTTTATACATCTTATCCTAAATCCTTCTACTGTCAATATAGAAGGAATCAACCTAATCTAAATGAATATGCTAAAAGTAAAATTAATAACATTACCGAAGTATATAAAACATATGAATTGCAATTAGTGGAAAAGACCATTTCAAAATCTCTAATGGAGCAACTAGATCTTATGACAGTTGTTATAAGATTGTTAATTCCTAACAATACAGTGTTATATAATGATTTTGATGAGTCAAAACATTTACCTTATGATATTTTAGAATTTTTTTTCCCTAAAAATATAAGTTTTGAATACTATATTTTAAAACGAGAAGATTACAACGCAACATTAATCAAATACACCGATAATGAAGACATTTTTGCAGAAGATATTAGATTACATTTTGAAAAAGTATTCAGTGTTGCGACACCTATTATCTTAAAAACAGCTGACGAAAATATTGCTGTATTTTACCAGAACTTAATAAATTATAAAAAATCGCGATTACAAACTCAGTTAGAAATTTTAGACAATTGTCAAGAAGAAAGTGAGAATATAAAAAGTGATTGGTGGAAAGAATTTGGTTTGTCATTAGTGCCATATTATCCTTGTTTATCAAATACGTCTGGAACAAGTTATGGGAATATTTGTGTGCTAGGTAAAGAACAATTTTTTTACAAATACCAAAATAACGTATGTTCAAAAGCAATCAACAATAAATCACAATCTTTTCTATCTTCATTAGGTACAACTATCAAATCAGTATTTTTGAAAAATGCAATTTCTGAAACAATAGATGACATTCTAAATAAACAGCAAAAATCTAGGCTGACAATAAGAAATGTATTAAATAAAATTGAATTATTTGAGGATATTTGTTTACACATAAAAGATCCTGCATTTCAGTTGACATTTATAACAGAAGACAGAATAAGTGTATTTGAAATAATAATTAAATCTTTAAGAGAAAAGACAGATTTTAAAATTAATTCTACCATAAATAGTCTTTATAAGATAAAAACCTTAAAATCAAATTATTTCAAAAGCATTGGTACTGTTGGTGAAAACAATACTCGTTTAATTTTCGTAAACACCTTATACAATCAAAGTGACACTGGTTATGGTTATAAGTTTATTTTTCTATCTGACGATGTATCAAAAATTGCACAGTTAAGAACTGGTTACGAATTAAAAGATGAAAGATTATTTACAGAAGGAGACACAGAAAATGCAATAAAAAAATATATTGCATTAAATAATGTAAGTTTTCAACCTGAACCTGATCATGTTATGTATGAAATTAATAATAAACTTTGGCGTAGACCTACTAAACTTATGTTTTCTGGAATACCAATTCAAGCTGACGATTATGATGAGAAATGTAACGATGATATTAGTTATTTTGAAAAATCGAAACTTAATAATCTTTGCCGAAGACAACGACGTTTGAGTGAAAAATCTGTCTTCGAAGATGAAGCCGTAACATTTATTAAAAATGAGATAAATATTTCTGAAGAATGGATACGGAACTTGTTTAATAAATACACATTTCCTGATAACATCACTCTATTGCGATTTGTTGATTATTGGATGTATAACAATACCTTTGAAGCACCTGTTTGGAGTAAAATCTTTGAAATTGAGAATTCTGATCTTTTAAAAAAATTAAGATACGACTCACGTTTTGAAAAACATGATATATCAAATTTTGATGGCGAATTTAGAATCAGTGCTCTTTACTCAAAAGCAGAAAGACGTCAAATTGAGGAAGAAGCACCGTTAAAAAATATAATTAAAGAGTATAATCAACAGAAAGCAAGTTATTCTGTTGCATTTCATGATTACTATGCAATACAAAATTATGCGACAACAGGATACACAAGAATAACAAGAGATACTCAAGAAGCAAAGCTGATGAAAATTGCATTATATAAATTAGCTATAAGACAGTCAGACGATCCGGAGGGGGAGTTCGACTTAAAATTATTTAAAGTCGAAACTAAACCAATTGCAATTGCCAAATTATTTTCTACTCAAAATAACATTACTTTGCAAAAATTTACACAAGCTTCACCAAATACAGGTTCTGCTATAAGATTGGGAGGTTATCCAGCACCTGGATGTATAAACATTTTGTACGAAATGGTATTTAGTAGACCTTATGTAAGGGCAAAAATTGAACAAATTTATAACATAAAAGAGAATAATGTAATTCTTCTACCTGGATCCAATTTTCTTATTGTAGATCGTACAATGCTAGACATTGGTGGATTGGGCAAGGTATTAAAAGTAAAGCTAATGTTTCAACATATTGATAATGAAAAATATGTTTGGTACAAAAATATCATGAATGAAATTGCACATATCAAATTTTGAATATTGTTTGAAGAATTTTGAAATTAAGTATTTTTCTCATTAAATTGCTTATTTTATATGGATATCTTAGAATAAATTAAATGTTCATTTATTTAGTTGGAGTTGGTTTATTTATGGTAAAATAGTAATAATATTGTCTTTATCTTTTCTTTGAAATAGAATATGTAATCACACGTGTCTTTCTGAATATGGCAAAAGATAATAAAAAAAACTACTTATATGCTAATAAGAGGGCTGTCTTGTAAAAAACAATCTTTTTTTTAAAATTTTTATTTTAAACTTTTTTATCTTTTCGTACATTTAAAGATACATTTTAAATTTTAATAAAAAACGTTTCTTGTTTATTTTTAGAGTTTTTTGGCCAATAAATCACATGTTGAAACTCACCACTTTTTTATAGTGTGCACGATATTTCAGAACGGTTTCATCTAGAAATAAAAAATCAAATTGTTTCTTGAAATAAAGATTACTCGCTATCGCCTGAACTAGGATTTTAATCAACGGACCAGAAAATACAAAATGGCGGCCACTTTATTGTTTAACCCTTTTTTACAACTTAAGTTGGTTAAAAATATGGGTAAATATTGACGAAAAATTAAAATCTTACTTCAGGCAATAGCTATTTATGTGTAGAAGAAGTCCTGAAAATTTTAGCCTGATCGATCGGTGCAATACATTTTTTTCAATCATGCACACCATGTCAAAGAACATTGTTTTGAGAAAAACGCGTTTAATGATTATGGTTAACGATTTGTCATATCAAAGTTATTTCTAAATGGTTTCTCTAAACGTTGGACATGTAAATGTTTTTGGGGTAACTAATTACGAATATGACATCAGATTTTCAAAATTCAAAATGGCGAATTTAATTTAATTTTTAGCCTGTTATTGTACCCGGTAATGTTAATAATTATTTTTTTTCTTATTACTACATACAAATACAGTAAGAAAAAAATATTTTTGAAACATCGATTTTTTTGAAAATTTGTATGAGATAGTCCTCTTAATAACCCTTACAGCAACTAATATTTTAGAATATCCAACGAACGGCCTAGAAGTATCTGGAAAGAATATACCTAGAATGTCCCCAGACCAAATGATATTCCTAGAACGTCTGTTAAATATCCTGAATATCCGGATGCTTTAAGATCAATAGCAAAAAAAAGGTTCTTATTCTACTAATTACTATTGGCTCATAGAATATTGAATCGATTAAGTATGCTTCAATATTGTTACTCAGAGGGTTCTTTGAGATCGCTGATTATTACAAATCTAAAGTTAATTTTTAAAAATTCAAAATGAGGGACAAATTTTTTTGACTGTATTATTGGAAATAATAATAATATTATTGTATATTTTAAATGTGGAAATATGAAATCAGAATTATCGTCAGCTACATGAAACCTAAACAAAAACCAAAATTGTAGAAATCTGTAATTACTCAAATTTTTCAAAAATTTTAGTCAGCCATTCTATTTTCTCAATTTTAAATTACTGATATCTAACTTTTTATTCGTAATTATCAACACAAAAAGAATCCCAAAACTAAATTTCATATAAACTCGTACTATTGTACCTAACATTAATTTATGTTAATTTTAAAAGTGCGCTTCTCTTATCTATGTATTGAGTAAATATTAAGTTTTACTTTTACAATTGTATCAATAAAAAATTAAAATTAGTAAAACAGTTTGTTCGTAGATAAAGAAAAATTTTGTTTTAACATTTTAAACTCACATATATATATAGACAAACAGTTTGCACATTAACCCTAAAGATTCAATCGCAATAGTAATTTGCATATAGAAAATTTTTATTTATATTTTTAAACTACTATATATTAAATAAAATATTTACACAATAATCTAATTATTGAAAAGTGCAGTGTATTAAAAATAGTACAAGGTAAATAAAATTATGTTTCAGATTTTTTATTTAACTGAATTTTTATTAAAACCTAATTTTTATTTAATCAAATTCTTATTTAATTAAATTTTCGCTAAACCAAATTTTTATTTAGACAAATTAGTATTAGTATAAATTATATTAGTATAAATTAGAATCACTAGAGAAAATTTTACATTCTAATGTAAATTTTACATTGGAATGTAAAATTTTCTCTAGTGATTCTAATTCTGTTACTTGCAGAATAATTCAATGAATATTCGTTTTTTGAAAAAATTCTCATCAACCAGTTGTAATGAAAAGTTATATGATTGTTAAATAATAAAATAAAGGAAAAATTTGATATTCAAGAATTCTATAGTCAATAATTCGATAACAGAGAATAGGCTTCGACGCGTAGTAGCGCGTCGCGCGTGGCAGTCGTGACTGTTCCAGCGCTTGCACGTCGTTCTTCAAATTCGCGTAATTCACTCATTTTTTAAAGGTACTAAGATTTTTTTTTTTTAATTAAAGTTGAGAAAGTTTAGATTTATGTCGTTTTTGAAATTTTTTCCTAAACATATGAGAAATAGTTTAAATATTCATTTGTTTATTAAATAAACAATTTTTTTGCATAAACAATAAAGGTTAATTGAAATTTCTATTGCATTTCAAAGAGACATAATTTTTCTATATAGTCACCAAATTTTATTAAATTTCATTAACAAGCAACGGAGTAATTGCAAATTTAGTTGAAAGGTAACAAAATATTCAATTGTTAATAAATAATTAAAAATTTAATTTTTTTAAAAACGCATTTCAGGAATCTTTTTAATACGGCTTCCTGCAATAGATTATGAAAAAAAATATTTTAAATTTGAAAAGTCAGTTTTAGTTGGCCCAGTAGGGAAATTTTCACCCATATACATTATGTTACTATATTGTTGTATTGAATTAAAATATTTCTGTTAAGCATGAAAATTATTTTTTCAAAAACGTATTAAGTAAAACAATAAAACGATTAAATAAATATTTATTTAGAATATTTTTAAAAAATTATTTCAAATAATAATAATTTAAAAAGTAAAAATGTTAATATAATAATTTTAGCACATAGTTTAAAGTTTGGTTTAAATTTCATTAGATGATAATATTGGTTAATGTTACAGAGTGATTTTAATTTAACGTTTTCACATAATTCTTAACATGTTATTTCCATCCTTTATTTCAATCCATAATATTTGGTTCACTTGTAATAATAAATTTTAAGTAGAACTTTAGTTCTTTTCCACTTTCTAAATCTGAATTAGTTAAAAATAACTAATTTGCAGTAAAATCTTGACTGACTTTCTGCTTCAGCAATTTATAAAAAAATAACTTATAATTAGTAAAAAATAACAAGTTTTCAGTGAAAAAATAACTGAAGAAATAAACAAATTTAACTAGTTGAACTAATTACAAGAAAATTTAATTATTTTGCAATAACGTAAAAGTGATTTTAACTAATAATTAATTAATTTTAACTAAATTAAATCTAAAAAGTAGTATATTGTTAGGGCCACAATGTTAATTCTGTCAAGAACTTGATTCTTAAAATATAAATTGAATTAGTTCAGAATTTTGTGAAAATGTCTAAAATATGATGAGAAACGGATTTTATGTGCGAAAATTGTGACACTTCTTAAGGGGGGAAATAGGTGTAAAGCTTCAATAAAAATTTTTTTTTTCATAAATCGGTTGTAAAACTATTGAAAAATATGATAAATTATGGAAACACTATAAGGCGAACTTTTGTGTTAAAAATACACTTTTTTAAAATTAATCCTTCAGTTATTGTTTTAGTAGTTTTGTTTAACTTTATGTTAATTTAAATTTAATAAGATTAATACTAATTATTCAATAACAAAGTATATCATTTTACAGATAATAATTGAATTACAGTAAACCATGTCTATTTTATGGAAACCAACGACAGTGACATCAATAACAAAAGAAAAACTAAAATATTAAAATAATGAAGTAAACGTTCACTCAGAGTTAAGGCATATTACCAATTGTTAAACTATTAGTATTTTACACTGAATGATTAAAGAAACTTGATATATTGTAAGGAAAAAAATATTTAGTTGTAAATACAAATGAAAAATTATTCAAACTCAACTGTGAAGAATGGATAACTTTAAAAATCCACTAGAAACGTTACAGCTTATACCTATTTTTAGTTATTTAAACATACTGAGTGATTTTTTATTTATTGAAAATTACCTATCAGAAATTGATCAAAATAAACAAATTCCAATTATTAATGCACTTTATGAATATATACAAGACTATGAGAATAATACATTCAAAAAAGGTGAATTAATTAGAGAATTGTTAAAAGGAAGCGATCTCTATGGAGCGAAAGATGACGAATACGTTGATGTTACTTTTGTTAATGTTATGTTTGACCACATTATTAGTTCTCTAGTATTTCACAAATATGGAAATATTTATGGTTTTTTGGCTAATATTTTTCGTCAAGCAGAAAACTTACAAATACAAGTAGTATTGAATAGGATAATATTAGATCTTGAAAATGCGTCTTTTGAAAATGAATATGGGGATAGTTCAACTCTTAGTTTTCTAGCAGTAGGTAGAATATATAACGACATAATCTTACCTCTTTTTCCTATACCAAAAGTCAATCTTAGTTTATTGTCTATTGATTATATTTATGCACAAGCTGGTTCAATGTTTCTTCGAGCTGGTAGAATAAATACCAACAATTATATTAAATTCGAAAACAATGTCGCAAATCCAACTGAGGATAATTTATTTGATCAATACTTAATAACTGGACATGTCATTGAAAAATTAATTTTTACTGATCAGAAGAATTTCGAAATTTTAAAATCTTTTGCCCTTCCAGCTTTAACGTATTATGTTTTTAATTCAAAATATTTATTTGAATATGAAAACATGGCAAATTTAATTTCAGAATCAGTTTTCTGGCAGACAGCTTATGAACATTTATTTCAATTTATAATTAAGGCTTCCAATGACATTAAAGTCAAATTAAATAATGACTACACGTTAAAAATGCACGCGGCACTCTCTAGTTTTCAAAGTAAGGTAGCATTGGCTAAAACTTTCATGGATGAATATTGTTCGCATTTAGATAAAGAAGAAAGAGATTCTGGATTTTTATTTTATTTGCATTATCCCAAATCTTTTTATTGTGTAATAGACAAACGTTTACCCGATCCAAATGAGTCTTTTAAGAATCAACTCAACAGTTTAATCGAATTATATAAGAAATTTAATTTTCAATTGGTTCAAGAGGCATTTCCAAAATCACTAATAGAGAATCTTGAACATGTTAAAGTTATTATAAAATTACTACTGCCTAACCATTTAGAAGAACATGGTGATTTTTTAAAAGCAGAATATTTATCTTATGACCTTCTAGAATTTAGTTTTCCTGATAATGTAAGTGAAAATTATTATCTTTTAAAAACAGAAGATTACAACGTTATATTAAGCAATGCAATTGATAATTCACAAATTTTGAAAGAAGGAACTATGTTACATATTGAAAAATTATTCAATACGACGACATATAAAATTTTAAAAACAGCTGAAGAAAATTTTTCTTTATTTATTGAGAACTTTGTAAATTATAAAAAGTCGCGATTAGAGTTATATTTAAATTTTTTAGGAAATTATCAGGAGAAAAATGAGTTAAAAAATGATTGGTGGAAAGAATTTGGTTTATCATTAGTGCCATATTATCCATGTTTAATAGATACGTCTGGAACTAATTACGGGAATATTTGTAAATCAAATAAGATAAAACTTTTTTTCAAATACGAAAATGACATATCTTTAAAAGCAATAAACAATAGTACTCAAAATTTTCTGTCTTCATTAGGTACAAATTTTAAATCAGTATTTTTAAAATTTACAATTAGTAAAACAGTACATAAATTTCTAAATGAACAACAAAAATCTAGATTAACATTAAAAAATTTATTAAATAAAATTGAATTATTTGAAGATATTTGTTTACACATAAAAGATCCTTCTTTTCAATTAACATTTATAACTAAAGACGATATAAATGTACTTGAAAGAATAATTAATTCATTAAGAGAAAAGTTTGATTTTAGTTTTACGTCAATCATTAATAATCTCTCTAATATATCAACTTTAAAATCAAACTTATACAAAAGCGTTGGTACTATTGGTGAAAATGATTCTCGATTAATTTTCATAAATACTTTAAATATTCAAAGTAATACTGGTTATGGTTATAAGTTTATTTTTCTATCTGATGATGTATCAAAAATTGCACAATTAAGAACTGGTTACGAATTAAAAGATGAAAGATTATTTACACAAGGAGACACAGAAAACGCAATAAAAAAATATATTGCATTAAATAATGTAAGTTTTAAACCTGAACCTGATCATTCTATGTATGAAATTAATAGTAAACTTTGGCGTAGACCTACTAAACTTATGTTTTCTGGAATACCAATTCAAGCTGATGATTATAATGAGAAATGTAATGACATTAAGAACCTTCAAATTTGGAAAATTATTAATATTTGCCGAAGACAACAACGTTTTAATGAAAAATCTACATATGAAGAAGAAACGATAAAATTGATTACAAACAAGACAAATATTCCTGAAGAACGGATACGCAACGTGTTTGACAAATTCACATTTCCAGATAAATTGGCTCTAACGCATTTTATCAATGATTGGCTAAAAAACAATTCCTTTGAAGCACCTCTTTGGAGTAGAATCTATAAAATTGAGAATTCTGATCTTTTAAAAAAATTAAAATACGACTCACGTTTTGAAGAACATGATATATCAAATTTTGATGGTGAATTTAGAATCAATGCTCTTTACTCAAAAGCAGAAAGACGTCAAATTGAGGAAGAAGCACCGTTAAAAAATATAATTAAAGAGTATAATCAACAGAAAGCAAGTTATTCTGTTGCATTTCATGATTACTATGCAATACAAAATTATGCGACAACCGGATACACAAGAATAACAAGAGATACTCAAGAAGCAAAACTGATGAAAATTGCATTATATAAATTAGCTATAAGACAGTCAGACGATCCGGAGGGGGAGTTCGACTTAAAATTATTTAAAGTCGAAACTAAACCAATTGCAATTGCCAAATTATTTTCTACTCAAAATAACATTACTTTGCAAAAATTTACACAAGCTTCACCAAATGCAGGTTCTGCTATAAGATTGGGAGGTTATCCAGCACCTGGATGTATAAACATTTTGTATGAAATGGTATTTAGTAGACCTTATGTAAGGGCAAAAATTGAACAAATTTATAACATAAAAGAGAATAATGTAATTCTTCTACCTGGAAGCAGTTTTCTTATTGTAGACCGTAGAATGTTAGGCATTGGTGGATTAGGCAATGTATTAAAATTAAAGCTAATGTTTCAACATATTGATAATGAAAATTATTTTTGGTACAAAAATATCATGAATGAAATTGTACATATTAAGTTTTAAACATTGTTTGATCTTTTCATATTATTACATATTTTTTCTAAAATTTTTTGTCGCGACAATAAAAAAAAAAAATAATAGAGAAAATTGTTTGAAAACTACTTTAGAAAATAGAAATCTTGAATTCTGTAGAGAATAAATTTGTGTAAATTATGCAACTAGAATGTAATTAGATATGGAAAATTTTTTTTTAATGAAATCAGTGCCAATATATTTAATAAATGTCTTCATTAAATAAAAGCAATATAGTTTGATAATTTATTTTTTAATATATGTCCGTAAGGTAACTAAGACTAATTTGTAAAGCATTAAGTTTATTTAAATATATGTAAATAAGTTCCTAATTCATTTCTAAATTTATTTCTACATAAGAGGACGGAAAAAAAATGTTCATAATTTTACAAAATATCGACTCAACTTCTGTTGTTTTAGGATAAAACAAATTTGGCAGGGACTCAGTTCAACCTTTTCCGATTCTTCAAAGACCGATTTTACCTGGTGGATTATACAAATGAATACTCTAAACGCAATCTTACTCTCACCTGACGGACTCTACACAGAGTTACTGTATAATATAATAAGTAAAAAGGGGTTAGATATTTGATTCTTCACAGACTGACTCTACACAGCAAAACTCTACAAAACTAAATAAATTACAAAGTTAGAATCCTACGCGAACTGACTCTACGCAGAGAAACTCTCCAAAGATTGATACAATTTTTTTACTCTCTACTGACCGATTCTACACGAATGGATTCTTCGATCTTAAATAAAAACTTGACTCTACACGAGTAAACTCTCCAAAACCCATTTCAATTTTTTTTTACTCTCCACTGACTGATTCTACATGAAGGGATTCTCCAATATTGAATAAAACGAAAATTTTTTGATCCACTTTTTGTCTCTCCACAAGTCGACTCTACACGAGTAAACTCTCCAAAATTTATTTCAATTTTTTTTACTCTCCACTAACTGATTCTACACGAAAGGATTCGCCAATCATAAATTAAAACTTACAGTTTCAGTTCCACTTTTTAACTCTTCATAAATCAACTCTTAACGAGTAAACTCCCCAAAACTTAATTCAATTTTTTTACTCTTTACTGACTGATTCTACACGAAAGGATTCTCCAATCTTGAATAAAAACTAAAATTTTTTGATCCATTTTTTATCTCTTTAAACATCGACTCTACACGAGTAAACTCTCCAAAATTTATTTCAATTTTTTTACTCTCCACTGACTAATTCTCCACGAAAGGATTCTCCAATCTTGAATAAAAACGAAGATTTTTTGATCCATTTTTTATCTCTTCAAACATCGATTCTAGACGAATAAACTCTCCAAAACCTATTTCAATTTTTTTTTATCTCCACTGACTGATTGTACACGAAAGGATTCTCCAATCTTGAATAAAAACTATAAGTTTAAATTCCACTTTTATCTCTCCACAAATCGACTCTACATGAGTAAACTCTCCAAAATTTATTTCAATTTTTTTTACTCTCCATGGACTGATTCTACACGAAAGGATTCTCCAAACTTAAATAAAAATTTAAAGTTCTAGTTCCAACTTTTTATCTCTCCACAAATCGACTCTACACGAGTAAACTCTCCAAAACCCATTTCAATTTTTTTTTACTCTCCACTGACTGACTCTACATGAATGGATTCTCCAATCATCAATAAAAACTTGAAGTTCTAGTTCCACTTTTTGTCTCTCCATAAATCGACTCTACACGAGTAAACTCTCCAAAATTTATTTCAATTTTTTTTACTATCCACTGACTGATTCTACCCGAAAGAATTCGCCAATTATAAATTAAAATTTACAGTTTCAGTTCCACTTTTTATCTCTTCAAAAATCAACTTTTAACGAGTAAACTCTCCAAAACTTAATTCAATTTTTTTACTCTCCACTGACTGATTCTACACGAAAGGATTCTCCAATCTTGAATAAAAACTTACAGTTTCAGTTCCACTTTTTATCGCTTCATAAATCAACTCTTAACGAGTAAACTCTCTAAAACTTAATTCAATTTTTTTACTCTTCACTGACTGATTCTACACGGAAGGATTCTCCAACATTGAATAAAAACGAAAATTTTTTGATACATTTTTTATCTCTTCAAACATCGATTCTAGACGAATAAACTCTCCAAAACCTATTTCAATTTTTTTACTCTCCACTGACTGATTCTACACGAAAGGATTCTCCAATCTTGAATAAAAACTTACAGTTTCAGTTCCACTTTTTATCGCTTCATAAATCAACTCTTAACGAGTAAACTCTCTAAAACTTAATTCAATTTTTTTACTCTTCACTGACTGATTCTACACGGAAGGATTCTCCAACATTGAATAAAAACGAAAATTTTTTGATACATTTTTTATCTCTTCAAACATCGATTCTAGACGAATAAACTCTCCAAAACCTATTTCAATTTTTTTTATCTCCACTGACTGATTGTACACGAAAGGATTCTCCAATCTTGAATAAAAACGAAAATTTTTTGATTCATTTTTTATCTTTTCAAACATCGATTCTACAAAAATAAACCCTCCAAAACATATTTCATTTTTTTTAGTTTTCAGTGACTGATTCTACATGAAAGGATTCTCGAATCATCAATAAAAACTTGAAGTTTTAGTTCCACTTTTTATCAATCCATAAATCGACTCTACACAAGTAAACTCTCCAAAACTTATTCCATTTTTTTACTCTCCGCTGACTGATTCTACACCAAAGGATTCTCCAATCTTCAATAAAAACGAAAATTTTTTGATTCATATTTTATCTCTTCAAACATCGACTCTACACGAGTAAACTCTCCAAAACCAATTTCAATTTTTTTTTACTCTCCACTGACTGATTCTACATGAAAGGATTCTCCAATCTTGAATAAAAACGAAAATTTTTTGATTTATTTTTTATCTCTTCAAACATCGATTCTAGACGAATAAACTCTCCAAAACCTATTTCAATTTTTTTTTATCTCCACTGACTGATTGTACACGAAAGGATTCGCCAATCTTGAGAATTAAGTTTTGGAGAGCTTACTCGTATAGAGTCGATTTCTGGAGCGATAAAAAGAGGAACTAAAACTTTAAGATTTTATTAAATATTAGCCAATCCTTACGCGTAGAATCAGTCAGTGGAGAGTAAAAAAACTTAAATTAGATTTTGGAGAGTTTATTCATGTAGAATCGATGTTTGAAGAGATAAGAAAAGGATCAAAAAATTTTCGTTTTTATTCAAGATTGGAGAATCATTTCGTGTAGAATCAGTCAGTGGAGAGTAAAAAATATTGAAATGGGTTATGGAGAGTTTACTCGTGTAGAGTCGTTGTTTGAAGAGATAAAAAATGGATCAAAAAATTTTAGTTTTTATTCGAGATTGGAGAATCCTTTCGTGTAGAATCAGTCAGTGGAGAGTAAAAAAATTGAATTAAGTTTTGGAGAGTTTACTCATGTAAAGTCGATTTATGGAGAGATAAAAAGTGGAACTAGAACTTCAAGTTTTTATTGATGATTGGAGAATCCTTTCATGTAGAATCAGTCAGTGGAGAGTAAAAAAAAAATTGAAATGGGATTTGGAGAGTTTACTCGTGTAGAGTCGATGTTTGAAGAGATAAAAAATGAATCAAAAATTTTTAGTTTTTATTGAAGATTGGTGAACTCTTTCGTGTAGAATCAGTCAGTGATGAGTAAAAAAAATTGAAATAAATTTTGGAGAGTTTACTCGTGTAGAGTCGATTTGTGGAGAGGTAAAAGTATAATTAAAACTTAAAGTTTTTTTAAGATTGGAGAATCCTTTCATGTAGAATCAGTCAGTGGAGAGTAAAAAAAATTGAAATAAATTTTGGAAGGTTTACTCGTGTAGAGTCGATGTTTGAAGAGATAAAAAATGGATCAAAAAATTTTCGTTTTTATTCAATATTGGAGAATCCTTTCGTGTAGAATCAGTCAGTGGAGAGTAAAAAAATTGAATTAAGTTTTGGAGAGTTTACTCGTTAAGAGTTGATTTATGAAGAGATAAAAAGTGGAACTAAAATTTAAGTTTTAATTTATGATTGGCGAATCCTTTCCTGTAGAATCAGTCAGTGGAGAGAAAAAAAAATTGAAATAGGTTTTGGCTAGTTTATTCGTGTAGAATCAATGTTTGAAGAGATAAAAAATGGATCAAAAAATTTTTTCGTTTTTATTCAAGATAGGAGAATCCTTTGGTGTAGAATCAGTCAGCGGAGAGTAAAAAAAATTGAAATAAATTTTGGAGAGTTTACTCGTGTAGAGTCGATTTATGGAGAGATAAAAAGTGGAACTAGAACTTCAAGTTTTTATTGATGATTGGAGAATCCTTTCATGTAGAGTCAGTCAGTATAGAGTAAAAAAAATTGAAATATATTTTGGTGAGTTTACTCGTGTAGAGTCGATTTGTGGAGAGACAAATGTGGATCAAAAAATTTTCGTTTTATTCAATATTGGAGAATCCTTTCATGTAGAATCAGTCAGCGGAGAGTAAAAAAATGGAATAAGTTTTGGAGAGTTTACTCATGTAGAGTCAATGTGTGGACAGATAAGAAATTGAAATAAAATTTCAAATTTTTATTTAAGATCGAAGAATCCATTCGTGTAGAATCGGTCAGTAAAGAGTAAAAAAATTGTATCAAGCTTTGGAGAGTTTCTCTGCGTAGAGTCAGTTCGCGTAGGATTCTAACTTTGTAATTTATTTAGTTTTGTAGAGTTTTGCTGTGTAGAGTCAGTCTGTGAAGAATCAAATATCTAACCCCTTTTTACTTATTATATTATACAGTAACTCTGTGTAGAGTCCGTCAGGTGAGAGTAAGATTGCGTTTAGAGTATTCATTTGTATAATCCACCATGTAAAATCGGTCTTTGAAGAATCGGAAAAGGTTGAACTGAGTCCCTGCCAACAAATTTGCACCTAGGTCATTTAAATTTTTACACTCTGAAATACTTTTATAGATTTTCCTTTCGTGATTTTAATTAGACATGTACATATACGTGTATATATATATATATATATATATATATAGTTAATTGGAAATAAATGATAACAGTTTTAAAAAGAGGGAGAGGGGAAATAGATGGCAAGTAGAAATAAAAGGAATTTGAAGAGAACAAAGTTAATTGGGTGTGCAAGATTGGGTTTCTGACATCTAAATGGAAATGTCTGTG